GAAGCGCTTCACGTTCGTGCTGGCCGTGGTCATCGGGGTGTTCGTGGTGTGCTGGTTCCCCTTCTTCTTCACCTACACGCTCACGGCCGTTGGCTGCTCGGTGCCGCCCACGCTCTTCAAGTTCTTCTTCTGGTTCGGCTACTGCAACAGCTCCCTGAACCCGGTCATCTACACCATCTTCAACCACGACTTCCGCCGCGCCTTCAAGAAGATCCTCTGCCGAGGGAACAGAAAACGGATAGTGTGACCGCTCCCGGGTCCTGCTCACAGACTAGCGCAGACTGCAGGCCAGGGCCTTGGAGGCGCGAGTCTCCCCAGCAGCCCCAGCCCTGTGCAGCGGAGGACCTACCTGCCTGCTCCGTGCTTCCGGGCCTGAAGGGTGCTCTGCGGCCTCCTGCGGGCATCTCCTGTTGGGCAAGGGAGAGTTCTGGCGGGCAGAGCCACACCCCCCACTTGTTGTTATGACTGCTCCTGACCCGGAGCGGTTTTCCTGGTGGGCCGCCCCTAATCAGTATTGCTTTTAAAGGTATTTTCACTCTTTCCCCTAGCCCAGATCTCTCAGCATTTCGGAGCAAAGGAAGGACTCCAGGGGGCGTGGCTCGCAAGGGGCACCCGGCGAGGGGATACCCAGCCCTGGCTAATGGCTCCCTCCCTCCCCCAAACTCTCTAATTTTAAAACACACACTCAGGGCAGCCCCTGCCCGTCCTCCCAATACACACTATTTTTGATAGTTAACCTGGGGTCCCCAGTGTCTTGTGGCCTTGGGTGTGATGTTGGAGTCCTGGTTGTGAGGTGCCCTCCAGGCAGACCCAGCATCTGGCCCAGGCCAGGCCCCTTTGCAAGGCGAGCCCCGTTCTAGTGTTATTAAGTCTCTGTGTGTCCCGTTCACCAGCCACTGGTGACTGTCCCTTGGACGTGAACCTGCTTTGGGATTTCCTGGCAGGGAAAAGATTTCTGTGTGTGCGTGCCCCTCCCATCCCTAACAGCATAATTGCCTTTTCCTATGTAAATATTACAATGATGGACCAAGACAGAAGCAAATGAACCTTTCCGCCTTGCATCAGCCCTGTGTATAAAGCCATTATCCTCTGAGGCACCCGTTGGCCCCAGTAACTCACTTTAACGCCGGCACTTTCCGGGGGCCTCTCCCTCTCTCTGGGGCTGCTGCTTGAAGAAGAATCTCTATGTTTCTATCTTGTATGTACGTGCACCCGTCCCTCACTGAAAGCGCTGACCGAGGGGAAATCTTTTAGCTGCTGTTTTTAGACACAGAGGTGTTGAAATTATGTGGAAGAAGAGAACCTGATACAGTTTGCCCAAGGTAAACATTTTGAAAAAGACAAATGGGCCTGCCAAACTGTACAGCTCCTGCCCCAAGAGCTCTTATGTATCAAAGCGTTGTCCTTCCTCCTGCTTTTCTGGCTGGGATCATGTCACTGATGAACTGCCGAAGTCAGGGGAGGAGGCGAAGACCTCGTGTTTACAACCCGGTTTCTACATGTTTCAGACAGAGACAATCGAAGGCCTGCACTCTTATTTCACTAAAGAAAAACTAATGTCAGCACATGTTGCTCATGACAGTGGATTTTTTTAAAATAAAAAGTTTACAGATCAAATGTGAAATAAATATGAAGTAAGTGTTCCTTCTGTTATCTGAGTTTTCAAAACTTTTACTACTGGGAACATCTGATTGTGCATACATTATAAAGAAGACCTTTTAATGCATGACCAATAACAAAGCTATTATTTACTAAGTGTGCCTGATATGCTAGCCACTGTGGTGAGCCTATTATAGGCATTGCCTTGTTTAATCTTCCCGAGAACCCCAGGGGGTAAAGTCTATATTGGCCCCACTTGCAGGTGCAGAAACTGGTTCTCACAGTGTAGGGGATTTGCTCAAGACTTACAAAATGTGGCAATACATTGTACACAGCTCCATCCTGTTGCAGGTCTGTGGTCTTCGACCTAGAGCCTTTCCAGAGTCACAGTGTTAATGCTCCTCAGAAGCTCCACTGCGGTCCTGTGCAGAGTGGCTATATTCCAAGGGTGTAGACACACACAGTGTGTGCATACCTTGAAGTGTCTGTGTGCCCCATCTTCTGTGTATACCTCAAAGTACTATCCACCCAGAAGTGCAATATGTGTGTACAAAACTGCAATATATTCCCGAATGCATGTCAGACCTGCACATGTGCTAGTGGACGGTATATGTATACCCCATAACACGATATAAATACCTGTGTATTAGCTGGTGGCTGAAATTTTCTCTGGCCAAAGCCACACATTGTTCTTATTCCCTCTTCATAAAGTCAAGCAGCCTCGCTGCCTTGGTGGGTGGAGATCCTCACGCTATGGTAATGGCACTTTGAACTGGAAGCATCCTCGAGAGCCACGAGCCCACGTGAGCCACATGATGGCTGTGGAGGAGGCTGAGAGGAACCATCTTGCTCAGGATGCCACAGTTCCGGGTGACAGGGAGGTACCAGTGTGTAGGGTGAACAGTTGCTTAAGAGCTGCTTGTCTGGCAACTGGGTTTCAGGGCAGACACAAAGGACAGGTGGTTTCCGGGAGGCCAGACGTTGTAAACCCAGGTATCTATAATGTACACGCAGGTCAGGCCTCCTCCTGTGTCATCTCTGCACTCGGTACCCATTGCACTCAGTTTACCCAAAGGCAAACAGCACCAGATAATAGGCCGGCCTCTCAGGCCTCCAGGACTGGGGCTGTGTGTCCCCGCCATGGACCACGGGGGCAGATGAAAACACAATTGATGTTGACGCTTGTTCTTCCCTGTCTGCTGGGGAACTGTTTGCCTTGCACTCACCCGCAGAGGCCACCACCTGGGAGAGAGGGAAGTGTGGACAGCGGTGCCCCACGGAGGTGCCTCTCCCTTCCGCCCTAGCAGAGAATTCTCAGAGACCGGCAGGACTTGGAGAACATGGGAGCACAGCAGCTGGGGCCTGGAGGGCTGCTGGGGTTCAGAATTCACAGTGAGATCGTTGTTCTTTAGAAAGGGCCCAGGCAGCACTCTGTGGAGGGGAGCAGAAGTGAGAAGTGGCTCCCAAGGGACCTGAGCATAAGGAGCAGGAGAAGAGACTCCGACCCACAGCCTCCAGTCCGTGCTACCTGGTGCCCTGGTCCTACATCTTGTGGCTTTGCTTGAGTACGGAAGCCATCGAATGGCCTTTGGGTCTGAGATGTGCCCTGACAGGTTCACCCGTGAGCGCACACCAGGTGTGGGGAGGGCAGTGCCTGGGTGCAGGAACAAGCCCTGCCCCTCAGGGCTTTGCTCAGCTGCTTCTGCTCGGCAGGGCTGGAGCGAGGATGAAGAAGATGTGCCTTAGGCTTTCCCCTCTTGCTGATTCTATAGTTGAATCCAAGCTTGAGGCCCAGAGGTTGCCTCGGCCATCATAAGCTCTGATGAAGGACACGACGCCCAGAAGAGCTGTCATGTTGTCACATCCCAGGGTTACTCAAACCCTCTCCTCCCCAGGACTGTCCTGGGGAGAGCACCGCTTCATAGGTCATACAGAAGCACTGTGCTAGGCTCCTAGGGGCAGGGCTCTTCCATTCAGCACCATGCACAGCCCGTCTCTGCTCCCTGTGGGAGCTGGCAGAGATTGGGGCCAGCTCTACCCTCTGGAAACCTTAGAGTTGCAGGAGGAGAGGATGAGCCCATGCCACACGCTAGCTATCCATGCAGCAGTGACAGGAGGACGTGGGCACCCACTGAAGGCCATGGGTACACTGGCTGTATGCAGCGGGGAGGAGGAGACTGTGGCAGAGCCGGAGTGCCTGCCTGGTCTGGGGGTGGGTGGGGCATGGAGGGCACCGCACAGCTGAGTTCTGCCAGACCAGCGCCACCTGAGCCTTTCTCAGACTTCAGCCTTCATTTCTCCAACTTAATCCTTGCAGATGGCAGGACAGGTTGCATTCCCATTTGGGACACCTGTCGGGAAGCTTTCCTCCCTAACTCAAATAGCATAGGTAGGTCCATGTCCCCAAACGCAATGTCAGGCTTGTTGTCTGCTTGGGCCCTGCCACCTCTGAAGTGGATTTAAAAGGTGGTGCAGGGAGGGGCGCCCGCTTCAGTAGGGGTGTGCCTGATGGGAGAGTCAGACAAAGTTCCTGAGAGCAACCCCTGAGGGTTTGTTTGGAAACAGTGTAGATCTCTTTGATCAGTAGAAATCTTAGGGTTTGGAGTTAAATAAGGAAAAGGGAATGGGATCTTTTGTAAAGAGCTTACATGAGAGCTGGGCATGGTGGCACACGCCTGTAATCCCAGCACTCGGGAGGCTGAAGCAGGAGGATTGTCGTGAGTTCGAGACCAACCTGAGCTACAAAGTGAGCTCAAGGCCAGCCTGAATTGTGTAGCGAGACCCTGCCTCAAAAAGACCAAAAAAAAAAAAAAAAAGAGCTTACATGAGGAGGCGGAGTCCAGTCCCACTGTTGCAGGCTGTGTGACCCTCTCTGCGGGATTTCTTCATTTATCAAATAAAAGTGATTGGTCTAGTGTTACTTAAAAATGTGTCCCATGGAGTTAATTTAATTGTAAAGTCTAACACCTGTCCATCTGTCCATCCATCCATCCATCCATCCATCCATCCATAACCCTATCATCTGTTACCTATCATTTGTCTGGTAACAGGTATCTTTTCATCAGGATTCACAGAGACTTTAATATGCCAGTGTGGTTTGTGATTCTTTAAGACAGTATGACATGGCATGCTTTGCTCCAAACTCCCTGGACTATGGAGTTTCATTTTTTTATAAGCAGCTCAGTGAACCATGTTTACTGGAACACTTGTTAGGAAATCTTGGGTTAAAGAGCCAGTTGACTAATTCCTGTAGTCTGTCCAAGGGCCCGCTGGTGGGTTTGGGAAGCTGCAGAGGAAAAACACAAGCCCGTTTTCCTCTTCTGCTCTGTGGATGTGAAGGTCTGTGTTGGAGTTGTTATGGGTATGGCCAGACCTGTGCGTGTGTGTGCATGAGTGTGCACATACACACAGGTGCACACACATACACACACACAATCTTTCCATCTTCCTTGCCACCTAGCGAGCCCAGTGAGAGTGAGCCCCAGAGAAGGCCTGTTCTTTGGGCCACACTTACCTCACGTCTGAGGCTCAGGCTGAGCTTAGAGGCCAGGAAGCAACACTGATCTGGTCAGCAGCAATGGTCACTGAGGCTGGGGCCCTGGCCATGTTAATGTCCCCACTTGTCCTTTGCGTAGACTAGGAATTCTGCTGCTCCTTCCTTGGCATCTCTGGGTCCTTGTCAGCCTTCTTCTCAGCACACTTCCCGGACATACTTCAGGGATCGTTTTTGATACTGTAGCCCTAGGGGAGGCACTGGCACATGTAATGAATGAATGCTGGATCCATCTCTTCATTCCTTCAGTCATTTGACAGCTAGTTTTTGGTACTATGCCTAAATGAATGCCATTAACACCACTCCATGTGTGCTGGGAGTCAGAGCTTCTTTGTGCGGGAGACAGATGGTAAATCGGCAGGAGGGGCAAGCCCAGTGATGCGGGGGTGGGGCACAGGGCTCCCTGTGGGGGACACGGCCCGAGTGGAGGCACAGGGGAGGCTCCCTGAAGTGTACCCTTGGATGAGAGCTGAGGGACGGCAGGAGTGCCATGGGCAAAGGGACAGAGTGGCGTGGAGGTGGAGGTGGAGGTGGAGCATTGTACGTTTAAGCAACTTCAAGCTCCTTGTGCAGGACCATGTGGTATGCCCAAATCACTCAGCTGCTCAGAAAGGGATTTATCCTGAGGGCAATGGGGAGCCACCAGGGGAGGGAGAAGATCAGATTCTCTTGTTTGGAACAGTCCTTGTGGGTGCTGAGTGGAGACGGAGTAGAGGTGTGTGTGTGGGAGGGTTGGTGGTGGGTGGTGTGTGTTGGCAGAAGTCACTGAAGATACTGCCAATAGCTTAATGGCCTGACGGGGGGACTCACGACACTCAGAGAAGCTCAGGGTCCTTCTTCCCCACCATGTTCCCCAATGGCAACGTCAATTTCTTTACAGACCCACATGCTAGACTTTCAGAGCTGACCCTCCTTGCCAAATACTATATAGTCTGACCTGCCTTTGGGGAATATCCATTCTTAGGGGCGGCTCCTGGGCTTGGGCTTCCTGTTTGTGGTTAAATGCAAACATCCTCTCAGAGGGTAACTTCGCTTGGCTTCGATCGGGTGTAAAGCTTACTGGCCAGGGGACACGGTCGCCCTCACTTACCATTTCCCACCTCAGCTGCCTCATCTACTCAACAGGCCAGGGCTCTGAGGAAACCCTGGAGGCCAGCACACCCTGTGCTACACTGAGCCCGAGAGCCTGAAGGGCAGCAAGGGCAAAGGGGCATTTGCAAGGTCCACCCAGGCGGACGGCGTTTTGCTCGGATCAGAAGATCTGATAAGCTCCACGTCTGGAGCTTGCCCTGCAGACAGCTGTGCCAGGTGCTTTTGGTTCCCTCGAGAACAGTTGTCTCTCTCCAAGGAGCTTAGAGACCTGTGACTTGACACACTCTGTCTGTTTTCCTGCACGAGGTGCTCGTAGAGGTGAGTTCACTGCTCTGCGCTAGGCCTTTCCCTGTGACTCTCCATACTTGTTTAAAATCTGCTGGAAACAATCCTTTCAA